TTCATGAGAACAGATCAACATTTTAATGTACCTTACTCCTGCCCTAAAATTTCCATTTCACCTAAATAATGACTTCAGAGTCCTACCATCTAAAATTTTACCTATTTCAAGAATCTATTAGAGATAATATAACATAAGAAAGGCTTGTGAATCAAGTATCTGTCCACGGATATTCTTAAGTAGAACCACTTCACATTAATTATTGTTATAATTATGATTGAGCCAACTCAGTTGTACAGAGTACAATTGCATTGTGTTTGTAAGCAATGCCCATCTGTCTGCAAATGCAAACGGCTGCTTTCACTCCCAGGTCAAAGTAAACAATATTACTGAAAGAATATTTATAAACTGCTACATAACTTTAGAGTCTGAAATCAACTTTAACAAATACTTCATGTTCTCTGACTAGCTTAACTGAAAGTTTTTTGTAAGGGCAGTTGACTCATTACTGAATAACTTATCCACTTTATCTTCAAAATTAGAATAATGTACAACTTATTGAACAAAATGATTTTTTTTAAAAGCAATTCATAAAGAACTTAATAAAAGCATAACTAGAATGTAATATGGCAAAGGGGATTATGGGAGTCAAAAAGCTAGTAAGTTCAATCAAATCAATCACACATGATGCACTGAATCTCTTGGCAAAGTCAACTTCTAGAAATTTGATGAAAGAGATATAAAACACTCAATATATTCCAAAAGCAAAAATTTACTCACAACACATAATTGTTTCAATATAAATAACTTTCCTTAAAGATTAAATAATTTCATTTAGATTTCGTTTCAAGCATAGAAAAAAAAAAGCATAATATGAATAAGGTATATTTTACTATACTTTTTAATGTAACTGCAGCCTATAAAATAGCCTGGGACCCACTTTAATCATTTTTCAAAGGATTAAATATTCCCTATAGATACCAAGATCCTACTATTATAAAACATTCTCCTTGATATAGTAAGAAATAAAATTGCTGCAGAGTATGATCTGAATTCTAATTTAAACAAAGACTGAGATTAAATAAAGAAGAGGCTGGGGAGTGTTAAAGAGAGCAGATGAGAATAAACATAGAGATTATAAAACAAAATAATTATACTTGAAAGGCCTATTCTTAATTACATTTTTATTCTGTCTTCATTTTATTCTTAATTTAGATGTCAATACATCTAAAAATAATACTTCTATAAGCCACAATTTTCCTTTCATTGTTCAAGTACTGTACCTATAATACATAAAAATATTTATAATACATAAAAATATTACTGTGAAATGTTTTTTTTATACATTATCTAAAATAATTAGGTATACTTATCAGTATTGCCAAAACAGTTTACAGGGCAGCAAACTGAGAATTTTGCTTGAAACATACATAATATTTTAATTCTGTTAATGTTAAGAAAAATACTAAAAATATCCCAACCCCCTCAACAATCCACCTGTCAGCTGATTTAGATATGAACAAAGGATACCCCATCGTTGCAGGTATGGGTATGTGCATGCATGCATGTTATGCAGATATACCGTGCTGGTGAAGATGAGAAGGGAAAGTTAATTCTTAAGTTTCAAGGACAAATCCAAAAATATTTGAATAAAGAGAAAATTTCACGTCACTTCTATGAAACACAAGCCTACATAGAAAAATTTCAACAAGGGACTTTAGACAGCCTGAATGTATATCATGACTGATTGTGACAATGAAACATAAAGTTCACCTACTGTGTAATTCTGCTGATGGTTCTGATGACAGAAAATAACAAGAATCATCTCTGGCAACTATGTCATACAATGCCAGGATCTTACCTATTTGCAAGGATATCATGCTGAAAATATAGGTGGAAAACAGGAAAACAGCAATACTAGATGAGTCAATCTGGTTTGACTGGTTTGTAGGACAAGAATTAGAGATGTTTACTTTGAACAGTTTTATTAGGCAATCAGAAGTAAGTCATAAAAAATGGCTCTTGCTAGAATAAAATGTGAAAATGAGAACAGATACTCACAGGTATAAACAGTTAACATCTTGTAGAGATTAAACAGTTTCTATTTAACTGATAACAACGTGATCAAATAGAAATTCCATTCAATAAAAATGAGAATGCAGAATTAAAGGCAAGCCTAAATCTGGAAATTCATAAATCTAAGAGACAAGTGATAATTTATTAAATAATATGCTAATGGCAATGATTCAGCTTTTAAAATTACATTCTAATCTAAAAACACCTTCCCAAAATAAAGGCAAAGTCCATGAACAGCTGTAGACAAAAAACATATCTAGATTAAGCCATCGAACAGTTAGTGGAAAATAGCAGAAGAAAACAGATGTACGTCTCTCCAATATATGATGACTGCATTGCTATACTGGGTTACAAGTTCATTAAACATCTGTGTCCAATTCTGCAGGGTATATTCTTTTTCTGTCCCTCATTGAAAACTCTTTAAAAAGAGGGAAAAAGATGTATACTTTAGCTTAAAATTGGTTTATTCTAGATTTCTGCATCCTTACTGCTCTATGTAAAAAAATCAAAGGAGATTCTATGCAATATATTTTAATTTCAAAATGCTGATCCATGAAAATATGGCTTTAAAACAGATTTAAAAGCCAGTTATTTACCATTTGCCCATCGTTTCAGCCAAAGTAGGAATGTCTGGAAAATGTTGGTAATATTTTAGAAAGCATTCCTGCTTCTTGTTTGATTATATAATTGAATTTTTCAGCTTTTCCGCTTAGAAATCCTAGAGGAAGTACCAAAGCTAAGAGGGGTCTTACAGGATTTAAAAGATACTATAAAAAATATTGCCAATCTACAATGATGACTTTTTAGCACAAGAATAGTTAAAAGCTTAAGCACAAATTTCATTACAGAAAGAAGGCCACCCAGAATTGACTGCCTTAGAATAGCTGCCATAAATTACAGTGTCTAATGCTCCACCTAACACATTTAACACAGTCTGCTAGACTTCAACTCCACTGATGCTTACAAGGAAAGGCAGACAGCAAGATAATGCAAACTCTTAAATTATACCTTTGTGAAGAGGAAAAAGGAAAGTTCTTAGTTATCATTTCTTGGATGTACTGATTTGTTTCCTTTAGTGAAAGGATTCTGAAAGCACCTTGGTTCCAAACAACTGGCTCCTTTCATCTCAGTTCTAGTGATACAGTACTGTTTGTGTTACAGTGCCTTCCTGATAAAGGCAGAGATCACATCTACACAGTCCTTCCAAATGAAACGTGCCCTTATATCACTTAGAGTCTAACTAAGAGAAAAGAAACCATAGGCTATGAAAATAGAGTAAACATAATATAGAAAGTTGGTTACACAAAGCATAGAAGATAGGAGAAGTCATCAAGAGAACAAACAACTAGACATTAGCAACATCAGGAAGTACCATGAGAGACAAAAAAAGATACCACTACAAGAGCCCAGAGCAAGGGTCACACAGTGGATGCTGGAATTATGACAGGCTAGTCCAGTGGGCATTGAAGCTACAAAAGAAACAGCTTCCACCAGCAATACTAGTAGAGGCGAAGAGAAGAAAGAAATGCCCTGGCTTCACCCTTCCTTAAATTCCCTTTTAGTATTTCCCATTGGGCTCCCCAAACTCAGTGGAAATTGGCTGTCACTGGAGCCTACAAAAAGCAGCCTGCAGAGCTGGCCCTCCTTCAGCAGAGAAGAAAGCAAAAGGGCATAAAATGGATCTGAGGGCAAACAAACCCCAGACCAGCATACCTTTCAATAATGTTCACATCATAAATGTGACAATCTCATAAATTCACTCAATCCAGTTAATATTTTATTTGTTATTATATCAACTGGCTTTAAAATTTCAATTTCATATTAATACTTCTAAGATTATCTTTCAGACTTTGAAGTGAAAATTCCTAAAATATCAATATCCAGAGGTATAATTCTGTGAGGTAGGGCAAGAACTAGTCAACTAGTATAATCAAATATGTAAAAATGTTCAACTGGGTTGACAAAGTTTAGTAAAGTCTGTCTTCTACCTTGCTCACAGTCTATTCTGGAGTAATTTAAAAGATGTGTTTTCCAAGAAAAATAAAATAATCCCTAGAGAAATGAGGATCATGTCAGCCAATTATTTTGTATAAACCATTCAAAATTGTTGCTAACTAAAGGCCTTAACAGTGCTTTCCCCAAAGCATCTTTTTGTCATCTTTCAAGAGGTATGTTTTTAATTATACATAACTAAACTCACATCTTTTCACTTAATTCATAAGGGAAATGACAGTACTGATACAAATTCTTTGATATAAGAAGAAAAATGATATTGTCATTAAGCACTGTTAAAGCCAATCTTAACATAAAAAATTAACTTACTATTTCAAGTAAAAGACTAACTGCTAATAGTGACTGTCACTGGTTCCAGATTAGAACTTACACTACATTAAATCTGAATGTTTCAGAAGCTCCCTGAAATCCCTGCTATTTTGCTAGGACTATGACCATATTTATTAAATATGTATAGATGCTTGTAAAGCAAAACTCATTGCTTTCAATTTTTTTTGATAAATTCATTTATGAAAACACACATAACCAAATACAATTTTTTTTTAAAAAGCTTAAACCTTTCTAAATGATTAAGAAATCTTTGTCTATCTAGAATTACTACCTACTTTGTCTTCATCAAATTGGCATATCAATAAGTCAAATCAGTTGTCAAGTGCCATTAATCTTATTTCATATAATTTTTAATGTAAATATTCTTTGACTTATGATTTCAAAAGCATATTATAATGCTATATAACATACATTCATTATATTATTATAACGATGCCAATAAATTTTATTTTATGTGATAAAGAACACTGATTACGTAGCCTAACCTCAGAAAGATAGGACATTCAATATGATCGTGTTTTTAAAATAATGAAGCCATTCTGCATTATCAAATATAATTAAATGCAGAAAACTGCTACCTTATCATTGTTTTTATTTATTTTTTAACTAATAAAAGTAGTTTTTTTTCTGCAAACACTTACCATCCACTCGGATATAATAACATCCACTTTTTCTACAGGAAGATGGACTTCTTCAATCTTTCCTTTAATTAGTATAACAGTATCTTCAAGTTTATTTAGTCTGAAAATTATCATAATGAATTAAATTAGTATGTGAAACACATACTGAAAACTAGTCAAATTACACAATTTCTTGGCAATTGCTCATACTATTTTGTTGAACTCAAAAGTATGTTCAAAGTTTATTTCTTGAGTTACTTTTCAGTCACTCCATGAATGCCCAAGGATACATGTAGTTAAATTAACATGGCAGTATACTGCGATTAAAAATATAATGTAAAAGTATAAAAGTAAAAGTACAATGCCAATATTAAAAACTTCAGCCTGAAGAGCAATCAGAATGTTATTAAGAACAGATTTCAAAAATTATCATATGCTATGGAATTACTTTGGTATCTTTATCAGAAATCAATTGAACATTGTATGTGTGGGGGATTTATTTCTGGACTTTCAATTCTGCCCCAAGATTTAGATGTGTAGCTTTTCACAAATATGACACTTTCTTCATTACTATAGCTTTAAATTAACTCACAAAATATGATAGTGTGTGTTCTTCAACTTTATTCTTCTTTTAAAAAATTATTTTGGCTATTCTAGGTCATTTGGTTTCCATATGAATTTTAGGAGCAGCTCTTGGTAATCTTCTGCACTGCCCAGTGTCAATGTCTTAGACATATTTTGTTAAATTCGTCCCTAAATGTTTGATGGTTTTGATTGTACTGTAAATAGCATATATTTTTAAAGTTTCAATTTCTATTTGTTTGTGGCTACTAATATCTTCTCTTTTCTTTTTTGATAAGTCTAGCTAGAGATATATCAATTCTATTATTTTTAAAAAGAATCTACTTTGTTTTCATTAACTTCATTGTTTTGTTTGGTATTTCATTGATTTCTGCTCTTTATTTCCTTTTTTCTACTTATTTGAGTATATTTTGCTTTTCTTTCTCTACCATACTTTAAGATATAAGAAGCTTAGATCATGAATTTAAAATTTTTTCTTTCCTAATACAAGCATTTGAAACTTTAAACTTCCTTCACGGCTTTAGCTACATACCACAAATCTTGATACACTGTGCTTTTAATTCAGTTCAAAATAGCTTCTAAATTCTTTTCCTTTGGATTTGTCCTTGTCTTTGATCTGTCTGTTAATTGGGTCTTTAGGCCAAGGATAGGAGAATTATGGCTGGCTCGCCTGTGGCCCACTTTTTTATAGCCCACAGGCTTAAGGGCTGTAGCAACAGATGCTCAAGAAGCATCAGCAGAAGTGACAGAAACTGTAAGTGTCCCACGAAGCTTAACACATTTCCTATCTGGCCATTTATAGAAAAAAGTTTTCCAACCTTTGCTTTGGAACACTACAGAAGCATACCTAAGACAAAGAATATAATGAAAAGATTAATATAGAATTAAATGGAAAGATATAAAAAGGTGTAAAGAAAAGGGACAGAAAATATATTTGAAAAGATAAATGATGAGAATTTTTGAAACTGATAAAAAGCATTAAAAGCCACATATATAAAAGAAATCCAATCAACCTCAAGTCTATTTTTTTAAAAAACCCATACAATACAGTAAAACTTCAACAAAAACAAAGAGCAAATCTTCAACAAAGGGAGATTACCTCCAAAGAAATAACAGTTATTCTGACAGGTGACTTCTTCACAGCAAAAATGGAAGGGAGAGACAGTGAATGATATCAATGAACTGGGGCAGAAGCAGGCAAGTTTTTTATTAAACTGCCAAATAGTAAATATTTTAGACTTGCAGGCCATATATTTTCTGTTGCAACTACTCAACTGCCACTGTTGTATTAAAGCAGCAATAGATAATACGTAAACAAAGGGCATGGTTTTATTTACCAAAAAATATAATAAATAATGGCCTGTGGCTAAAGTTTATTTTTTTAAACAGTGAAACTGTGATTTACTGATAGTGACATCAGGAAAATAATGATTTAGACAATCATCATTTTTTTGTTGTTATTGATATATTTTTTCATTGAAGTATATGTCTAAAGTTTATTGACTCTTACCCTAAAGCAGTATTCACTGCCAACCTAGAATTCTACATAGAAAAATACCTTCAGGAAGAAAGACAAAATATTTTTGAAGCAACAAACATCACTTTGTTCTACAACAGCCATAAATGCACAGTGAAAGAAATGCTAAAGAATCCATTCAGCAAACAGGAAAAATGATCCCAGATGATCAGGGAAATAGGAAGGAATGAGAAAAGAATATGGACATCTGTGGATGAGTAAGTATAAAGGACTGTCAAAAGCTGACTCACATAAACCAAGGATTTTACCCAGCACCAGGCTTTGCAAATAATTTCAAAAATACCGGCAGTTAAGAGATCCAGACTAATCAGTGAGAGAAGTCTGGGACATTAAGGGCAGGTACTCTGGTCTGTCTTTCCCTTTATCAGACATGCATTCTCTGGCCCAGAGTAGACAAGATCTCTAAGTAAGGTGCTTGGGCTAAGAACTCAAATGTTAAGGAAACCCTTTCTAAGTACAAGATTGCTTCTTGCTTCTTCTGTGTCGATTTCTTACGTCTTTGAAATTATTAATAAAGCTTAATATTGGGTAATCCCTCTGGGTAATACTGGATACTTAGGTTTGTGTGAGTCTGATTTGAAAATATGTTAGCTCAGAGTGGTGCTGAGGACCCATGAATCACAAAGGCTAAAGGCATTTTTAGCCAGAAAAAAGAGGGGACTAAAAGAATATGACGATCTAATCCTGAGATGGTTGCCCACACATCCTCGGTATAAAATGGCAAAACTTAGGCTCAGAGAAACTGGCTACCTTCCTGATAGGGAGCAGTTGGCATAAGGATAGTAAAAAGTTCCAGTCTCTGGTTGTGACTAGAGTTTTAGATAAATGCCAGTCCTTTCAGATGATGGTTAAGAATGGGTTTTCCTCTTCCTGGAAGGCTTTCTTATGCTAATATGGCGACCTGGGGAGACGAAGTATCCACTAGGAAAGTAATGAACTTAAAGTTACGCAGGTCAGGTCATATAACAACTAATTTGCCAGTGAGTGAAAGGTAGGCTGCAGCATGCCTATCTCAAGTGGGGCTGTGGCCCTGCCCTCTCCTCACTCCATAGAATTTAGCCCCAGTAGGAATGCTATGACTGCAAGTGAACATAGACTGGCTTTACGATAACAATATAATTTCATACTATTGATAGAGACGATGACAGATGTAAAATCAGTGACTCCTCATTCTTGAACACTTTATGTTATCTTGTTATTGGAAAGCCAAGGGAATATTCAGAAGGCAGTGTCTGAATGCTTTGTTCAATTACCAAGAATGGGATTGCATGATTGTCTTTGACATACAAAAGGAAGGCAACATCAATAGAAGAAGAGACAGAGGGAGAAAACAAAAACCAACTCACTGAGAGGGGCAATTTAGATAGCTTTGGGAAAATGGTATGAAAAAGATGAATTAAGTGAGGTTTCTACCAAGGAGTTATTAACAAGCTTTGTAGAGGATGGTTCAAATCCTGGTAATCTTTAGGGTTTTCACAGGCTTATTCTTTGCAGAAATTATTGCAGAAAATGCTGTAAGATTAAAGATACCTGAGAAATATATATGGCAAGGAGATACAGGCCAGGGACAGAAGGTAGACTGGGGAAGAAGTTAAAACAGCTCACCAATGATTCATGCACAACCTTTACTAGGGGACATTTATCTTCATTTCATGAGTGAATTTTTCATTAAAAGTGACTTAATATCCTTGCATTATCTGGGAGGACATTAGAAATGTTAACAATACACTTTAATATTTTAAATTTCAATGTCTAAATTTTGATGTTCTTTATGGAAGTACAAATGATTTTTGTTTAATTATGCATTTGACAACCTTGATATTTTATTGTTGTAATAACTTATTTATAGTTTATGTCTGAAGTCAATATTCAAAAATCTATCATTAGTGAACAAGAATAGTTTTGTTTCTTCATTTTCAATATGTATACCTTCTTTTTGTTTGCTTTGCTGTAATGTCCAGGATCTCCTATCATGCTGAATAGAAGAGCTAATGACAAGTCTCCCTGTCCTGTTCCTGAACTTGAAGTGAATGCTTGCAGTGCTTCAGCAAGATGTGGGCTGTAGGCTTTGTTTTTGTAGAAACTTTATCTTAAGGACATTTTTTTTCTAACTCAAGTTTGCTAACCAGGCCACTATTTCACACTATATACAAAAATGATGCCCAGTGGATTACAAATCTAAATGTAAAAAACATGACTATAAAGCATTTACAGGAGAATATGGGCAAATATCTCCATAAGGCTTCTTACTAAACTCACAAGTACTGACAACCACAGACAAGAATTTGCTGTATTAAAATTGAGAATTTCAGTACTAAAAGACACTAAAAGGAGAGTGAAAAGGGAAGCAAGAATGAGAGAAGACATTTGCATTGCATAAAACCTATAAACAACCCAAATCTAAAAAATATAAAGATTGCCTATAACTAAGTAAGAAAAAGACCCAACTCAACAAAAAGTCAAGTAAAAGGTGTAACAGCTATTTCAACGGGAATTCCAAATGGCCAACAAGTCATGTAAAAAGGTGCTGAGCCTCATTAACAATAACAAGTACAAATTTAAAGTGCAATGGTAAATTGCTATACAACCAACTGGAGAACAGTTTTAAAGGTAGACAATACCAACCAGAATTGTTATATGCTACTGGTGGAAGTATAAATTGGTCAAACTACTTTGGAAAATAGTCAGGCAATATCTAGGAAATGTGAAGATATATATACCCTAAAGTCTACAATTCTATCTGTAAGGATATACCCCATAGAAGTGGGCACCAGTGCACATGTACAAAAGTTCCTAACAGAACTGTTCACAACAGCCATAAACTGGAAGACACAAAAATGCCCATCAAGAATAGAAAAGAACTGTGATATATTCATCACTGGCATTCTATACAATAAACACAAATGTTATACACAACATGAATGAACACTAAAAATAATGCTGAACAAAACAAATTAGACAAAAAGAATGCAAAATGTATGATTTCACTTATCCAAAGATCA